GTGTGTGTGTGTGTGTGTGTGTGTGTGTGTGTGTGTGTGTGTGTGTGTGTGTGTCTAGGAGAAGGTGCTGGTTCCCACAGCTCAGATCTAATTCGGCTGTAACTCAATCTCCGTGTGAGTGCCGCTCCTTCAGAGCTCTCCTCTCCCTCTGGAGTGTGTGTCTGTGTGTGTTTGTGTGAGTGTGTGGCAGGGAGACGTTTCCCCTCTCAGACCCCTTCAGGATCGGTTTACTGTGTCAACGCCAGGAGCTTGACGGCAGCGTGAAGTCGTATCCACACAAACGAACTTGTAAATACAGCTCAGACGCTCTGCRATGATCAGCCACACATCTGGAGGGYGATGTGACTATGACAGGGTGAAAATGGGTGAATGATGGTTTGTATGCGCTCATATGGTTCATAGTGGATCCTGGACGAGCCCCCAAGTAACTACAACATAAGGGTGRCACAGCTCGTGTAAACATGTTTACATAACGGGTTGTGGAAAACAACATTTTGTTCCCAAAAGAACATATTTTCAAAGGGTTGCGCATCAATTAAAATAAATCCCAATTCTTTTTCTTGACCTTTTTTTCAATAACTTCATCCCCTCATTTTCTTTACCCACTTCTTCTTTCTAGGTCACGAGGAGTTCGTATCTACCTCCATCACCACCGTGCCACCGTTAACCTCCTGAGACCCAAGCTTTTTTAATGTGCCTTTTTTCTTTTTCCAARATACATGGGATTAGTAGGATCTAATAAGTATAATAATTAAACTCTCTAATGGCACAGGAAGTGTTTTTTGCAAAAAAAAAAGTCCTCACATGAGGACACCGGGTCACAAAATGTCATGCTTGTTGAAGAGTACCTAAGCAATTATCATACAAAGCTTGAAAACCTTCAATAGCTTTTAAGGGGTACCATTTAGTTATTGTGGCAATACAGCCAGTTGTAGACCAGAGCAAGATTAGTGAAACACATCATCATCAATAACAACTTTAAAATTTGTGACCAAATATTTTCCTTACAAAAACTATTCAATTATTCAACCATTCTATTTGTGAACTCTTCTAAATATTCCAAAATTTATCAAACACCATGATGCAATCGATAACAAAATTATAGTCAAARTGTCCTCAAATGAGGACTTCGTCTTTACCAACACTGTACTTTGCTTCAATGACACAAATGTGTCAAATTTGTRTGTTTTATTAAGCTAAAGATGTAACTGCATACTCACTAGTTTCAAGCTTGAATCATGATTTGGATTTTTATTTTRTCCATTTGTCTGACAAAGTTTCTGTATTAGCTTTTTCCTGGGATCCCCACCATCTTGTTTTCACTGAAATGAGCGTAATGTTGTCAGGTGACTACTAGATGGTGCTGGCAGTGTCTATAATAAGGTCCAAAGGGTCAAAGCTGAAGAAAATTAAGTATCATGGTGCAGACAGGCAACAATGCAATGTCCTCATATGAGGACGCAGGGTCTCAGAATTACAGGTTGCATAGGGCTGCCTAATATTGGAAAAAACTGACATTACAATTTTTTCTATTTCTGTGATATACAGTATTGTGATATGAAAAAATACAGGAATTGTCCACAAATGACTTGAATAACACTTTATGTTCTGCTGCCATCTTTTTAACAATGAACCTGCACCAATCTTACCTCTTTTTATGCATGTTATAAGTATTTTTTGTTTGTTTTTGAAAGGTTTTATTGTTTATTTTTTGAGCTGGGACATGAGTACATATTTCCATCTATCATGTGAATTGTGTTTTACCACTATTTATATTAGTTTACATCATGCTTTTTTTTTTTACTGTATTTCATCTMTTTTTCCTCCGGTTCTCTGCAAATTTGCTTATTTTCCCCATATTCATCAACATCCTCATCCTCTTCCTCCACAGTTCAAGAATTTAACGACAACACTTCTACATAAAGCGTTGCCATAATTGTTCCAGAAGTTTCACAACAAAATTAAAGGTTTAACATTTTTGACACCAAGCTGGCGGGAGCAACCTTTCAAAATAAAATCAAGACAGTTTGCTGCAATGACTTATGATTTAATGGCTTAGTCCTTAGATGACACATTGGTTTAATTTGCCTCCTACATTGCAGGACCTGCAATTGACTATTGTGTACTAAATAAAATACAAATGTGACAATWTGAAATGTGAAGTGACATAACATGAGTAGTGTTGTTCAAATGAAGGTGGATGATACTGGGGTATCCTCAGCTTGAAACAAACAACAGCTGAGAGAGTGAATAGTTTAGTGTTTCCTTAGGTTCACAGTGGCTACTGAGGAAAGAAAGTAAGGAGGCAGGGAGGGAGGAAGTGAAGGACGGAGGGGGGTTCTTCAGACAGACGTTTGTGAGTGTGGGAGCGCTGTGTTTGTATGCTTTAGGATAAAAAAGAAACATCGTGAGGGATCAGGCAGGCTGGGTGGGAGGAAGTCTCTGTGTGTGTGTGTGTGTGTGTGTGTGTGTGTGTGTGTGTGTGTGTGTGTGTGTGTGTGTGTGTGTGACCAGTGAGAACATGTAAGAGTGTTTGTATGAAAATGAAAGTGTGTATGTTTGTGTGCCCGCAGCGTTATTCATGCCCCGAGAGTTTAAAGTGTTTATGCAGTCACTGGTGTGCATTTAGTCCAGTGTTGTTGTTCATGTTTGTTTGGGCTCCGGCTGAATAGTTCTCAGTGGACCAAACAGAAAGAACGCTTGTTCATTTCGTCTCTGTAAGGCACATGAGTCAAATTCATGGTGACTTTTTTATTAATTAAAAATGTAGTTTTTATGTCAATGGTAAACTTTGAATTTCTGATTCAACATCACAAAATAATCACATTTAAAAGGTGAAGGAAAACAATTCTTGTTAATACTCATATTTATGTGATCTAMATCAACACTCCAGTCAGACTCAGGTCTACCAACTGGTTTCTTTTAGATGTTACTAGATCAAAATGAAATCCAGAGGTGATTTTGCAATTGCTTCTCTGAAATTGTGATTTGCTGAGACTGTTAAGGCTTTTAAATCTTTCCTGAAGTCCCGTTTTATTTTGGCTTTTGATTGAGGTAGAGTTTGAGTTGAAGATTTTTCTTTTTGTATGTTTGTTTGTTTGTTTGTTTGTTTGTTTGTTTGTTTGTTTGTTTGTTTGTTTGTTTGTTTGTTTGTTTGTTTGTTTGTTTTTGTTTGTTTTATTATGTTTCTGCATTTTATTTTGACTATTGTTTTAAAGATGCAAGTCCTAGACTGAACTGTAAAACACTTTGGTCAGCTTTAGTTTTTTATGTGCTATATAAATGTATTTTATGTGCTATATAAATACATTTTATGTGCTATATACAGTAAATACATTTGACTACTTGTCCAGCCCCTGAGCTGTTGGCTTTAAGTAACTGTGGCCCCCTTAATGCCCTTTATTAATGTCTCAAAATAAGCTGCTTTAAAGCCAGCATTGACCATAAACTACATCTCCCATAATGCATGTTGATTGTGGATGGGAATTACCTGCTGGAAAGTGTGAGAGTTCAGAATTAGACTTAACACAACTTAACAGTGAGTACAACTCTCTTACTTATAGTAGTATTTCTGTATTATTTATTTCACATTTAGTCACTCGTACACGCACTTTCGGTGTTTACAAGTGAATTCAATAAAGGTAAAACATTTAAACGTGAAGTAAAAAAAATTACTTTTACTTAATTCAGCTGAGTGGAAACAATTGACAAAATGTCCTGATGCATCTCAGTAATCCAGGTAAAAAAT